CTCCAGCCTGAGAAACTCTGGCGAGTGTTCTGCTGCTCCTGTAATGCCAGGGGACAGTGGCGGGAAAGGACAGCTTTCAAAGTGGAAACGAGTGGATCCCTCGGCTAAGTTCTTGATTCTTTGCTCTTTCACTGGATGAGCCTTCGTGTGGGATAGTGCTGCTATTTGCTTCACTCCAGCCTTGGAGCCTATTAGGTCTTAACATAAGTGATTCATTTATAGGAGGGTCCGAGCTGTCCCTTACTGGGGCACTCCACCAAATACCAGCTGTGGAAGGAGTTGCCGGTAATAGTGCTGTTGGGGGAACTTTAAGAGGACTGCAGAAAAACGCAGTGAAGGTTCTGGATTGATGGGAGGACTGGGGCTACACTATACTTGGGGAGGGGCCGAAGAGGGAAAACTTTTTGGGATCCTCCTGCAGTGGAAATTGGGGGAGGGGCCATGTGGCTGCTAGTGTGAGTGGGGACTCCCTAGTCCCGTGGTGCCGAACCTATGGCACGCTTGCCACAGGTAGCACGCAGAGCGCTCTCTGTGGGCATGCCCACCATCGCCCCAGTCCTAGGCCTTCAGCTGGGTTTTATAAAACCTTTTCACTTTAGGCCTCCGCCGCCATATGCAAAAAAAAAAAAAAAGGTTCAATCAATTAATTTCTTGCCGGAAAAAGTTGATTGATTGATTCAACTTTTTAGTCCCACCCAGTCTGCCAATACCACTGCTGCCATGTCCAACCAATGGGCCACGCTCACCCAATTGGCCACACCCACCTGGCACCCGATGATATATAAGTGGGTTTTGGGTTGCAGTTTGGGCACTCAGTCTCTAAACGTTTCGCCATCACTGCCTTAGTCAGTCCCATTTTGGTGCAGAAATACCAGCCTTTCTTCACCTGCATTCCCCTAGTATCCATTTCTGCTCCTTTCTTTGTGGTGTGTGTGTGTTCATTATCCTCTTCCAGAGGGGACTATATTTAAAGATACAAAGGGACCTTCCTCAAGGTGGCATCTTGGATTTGCATGTTCTCTCCATGAAAAAGAGCATTCATTTGTGGTTATTAAGTACTTAGGTTATGATACAAGATTCCTAAAATGATCACAGAAATGGGATGCTCCAATTGAGATAGGGGCAGGTTTGTGACTGCTTTTTTCTTTGTGTGCTTCTTTCAGAAGGTATATTTGTACCTCTGTGTCTCTCTTCCTATCTTTGGAAAGGGCTATTGTTGGGTACATAAGTTGTCTTGAGTACAGGGTTAGGGTCTGCATTCCTGTTCTGGGAATCCTGACTGAAAGGGTATTTTGTCAGCCCTTCAAGGTAGTCCAGAGAAGAGGCACGAGAATGAATGCTAGCATTATCTCTACTGCGAGGCCACAGTTCAAAATCCTGCAACTCTGAAAGTATTTTTTCCATCCTCTCCTTTTATTTTTTGAATAATTAGGGAATTTGTTTTGCAATTCTTCCAATGCCCCATTCACTCTCACAATCTCCTTGTAAGGATTAGGTTATCTTTTCGATAAAAGCTGTTCAGCCTAAGGCTCTTCCCACGTCTCCCAAAGTCATTCTCATTCTCCCATTACCCCATCCCTATCCATGTTCTCCAGAAGACTTTTCCACTGTTTGTTTGTAAAGAAGAGAAACAAAAGCATGTAAGACTTTCGAATAAGGTTGCTATATTTTCAGTGAGAATGAGTAGTTAGAATATCAGCTGAAAGGAGTCAATTAATTCCTGCATTAGAGGAAAGAGAGAGAGAAGAATGAATGAATTCTGGCCAATTGCTCAAAAGCTGCAGCTTCTTACATCCCTGAGGAGGCTAGGAGGTTGAAATAGACTTGAATTTCTTTTTCTCACATGAATTACTTTGTTTAGTGACATTTCAAAGTTACAATAGCACTGAAAAAAGTGATTTATGACAATTTTCACACTTAACAACCATTACAACATCCTGATGATCATGTGATCAACATCCAGATGCTTGGCAACTGGCTTATATTCAGGACTCTTGCTGTGTCCCAAGATCATGTGATCCCCTTTTGTGATGTTCTAACAAGCAAAGTCAATGGGGAAATCCAGATTCACTTAACAACCAGATTACTAACTTATCAACTGCAGTTATTCACTTAACAACATAGGCAACAAATGCAATAAAATGGGGCAAAATTCACTTAACAAATGTCTCACTTAACAAGATGGAATTTTGGGCTCAATTGTGGTTGTAAATCAAGGACTACCTGTAGTCATTAAAGACTTTTTCCCTCCACACTCAATACATTTGTGGGCTGGTTCCCCTGTGGATACTTTGGTGGCCAGTATCGTCTCTCTTCTCAGAAAGGCTCTTTCTACTCTATGTGGATTTATATGCTCTTTATGAGAATTGTGTTTTCCAAGTTAAGCTATTTTCACACTCTGTGCATTAATGCGGTCTATCCCCAGTGTGGATCCTTTCATGACAAGTAAGATGAGCTTTCCCAGTTTAGCTTTTTCCAGGCTATTATATGATATGGATGTTGTCATTTTATTTTACATAAATATCCAGATTGCAGCCGTGATTTTTCTCTTCAAATGTACAGTACCTTGTTCTCATCCCATGCTTGAACTTCTCTGCGTATTTGTAGTTAACTGAAGATAATAAATTCTATTCAAAATATACTGTATACCGTAGTCTGCATTCTATGTGTTCCTTGTGATCAAAGGGGCTCTCCTTGGTCTATGGGTCTCTGAGTCCAGCACAGGACGGACGGATCAGGGGCTGAACATCGGAAGGCGCCTTGTAGCACCTTTTCCAACCAATACCTTTCCTTGAAAACTAGAGCTTTGTGAGTGTAGCCGCCTCCGTCAGATGCAGAGACGGAGGCAGGATGGAAATCGGGGAGGGCGATAGAAGGCAGGTTGTATCCAGGACTGCAAACAAGGGGAAGCCTCGCCCTGGAGGTTGGCAAGATGACTGGAGCAGAGAGCTTTCTTTCCTCTGTGCTCCCTTCCTGGACATGGGACTTGCTCTTTAGGCCACCGGTCGGCAATCTGCGGCTCTGGATCCATATGTGGTTCTTTGAGCCTTTTCCTGCGGTTCCCGCCCTCCTCTGCCATTTGCAGAGACAGAGGCAGAGAGAAGCACATGCTTCCCTTCCCTTCTCTTTCTCTCTCCCTGTGTGTGTAAAAAAGAGAGTGGCCTAACACTGTTCCAACGAGCTGACAAGCTTATTGGGCGGGGCTTCTCCCTTTGCTGCATCTCTGTAGGAAGCAGGAAGGACAGGAGAGAGCCAGCCCAATAATGTGTGTCAGCTTGTTGGAGAATAACCTATAGCCAGCTTGCAGGTGAGCAGAAGATCGGAGAGAGGAGAGAGAGAGGGAAAGGAGAGAAAAGAAAAAAGGAGAGCAACAAAAAGGAAGAGAGAAAGATAGGGAAAGGGGGAAAGGGAGAAAAAATAGAGAGAAAAGGGAAAGAAAAAAGGGAGAAAGAAATAAAGAAAAGAGGAAGACAGAAAAAGGGAGAAAGGGAGAGAAAAAGGGAGGGGGAGAGAAGAGGGAGAGAGAGAGAAAAAAGGGAAAGATAAAGGGAGGGAGAAAAAGATAGGGAGTGAGAGAAAAGGAGAAAAAGGGACAAGGGAGAGAAAAACGAGAGAAAGGGAGTGAATGAAATAAAGAGGGAGAGAAACAGGTAGGACAACGACCAAAATGTCCCGGCATACAGATCAGCATTGGTCCTCAAACAGAAGTTTCAGCCCAAGGTCCTCCTCAGCACCAGGGGCCATAGTCCAAGCATATCAGGAGAGAGGGAGAGAAAAAGGGAGAGGGAGAGAGAAAAAGAGATGGGACAGAAAAGATTGAGGGACAGCGGGAGAGGAAAGAGGGAAAGAGGGAGAGGGAGGAGAAAGAGAAAGGAGAAGAAAATAAATGGAGAGGGAAAGAGAAAGGGGGAGAGGAGGGAGGAAAGAAAGGGAAAGAGATCAAGAGGGTGGAAAAAGAGGGAGATGAAAGAGAGGGAGAGAGGGGGAGAGGAAAGAAAGATGAAAGAGGGAGAGAGAGAAAAGGAGAGGGTGAGAGAAAAAGAGGGTCAGGGAAAGAAAAAGGGAGAGGAAAGAGGGTGAGACAGAAAGAGGGAGAGGGAGTAAGGGAGAGAAAGCAAAAGAGGGAGAGAAAAAGAGAAAGGGAGAGGGGGAAGAGGGAGAGGACAGAGATCGAGAGAGGGGAGAGGAAAGAGAAAAAGGGAGGGAGAGAGGAAAGGGAGAGGAAAGAGAAAGAGGGAAAGAGAAAAAGGAGAGGAAGAGAGAAAAAAGGGAGAAAGGGAGAGAAAAAGAGGGAGAAAAAAGGGAAAGAGGCAAAGGGAGAGAGAAAGGAGAGGGGGAGGAAAGAGGGAGAGAATAGAGAAAGGGAAAGAGATCGAGAGGAGAGGAGGAAAGAGAGGGAGAGGAAAGAGAAAGAAAGGGAGAGGGGGAAAGGAGAGAAAGAAAAAAGGGAGAGAAAAAGGGAGCGGGAAAGAAAAAGAGGGAGAGAGAAAAGGGGAGCGAGGGAAAGAGGGAGAACAAAGAAGAGAGGGAGAGGAAAAAGAAAAAGGGAGAGAAAAAGGGATGAAAGAGAAAAGAGAAAGAGAGAAACAGGAAAGAGAGAGAGGGGAGGAAAGAGAAGAGAGGAAAGAGAGGGAAACAGAGAGTTAAGAGAGAAAGGGAGAGCAAAGAGAGAGTACTCATGCACAGCAGCCTCTATTTCTCTTTAATTAAACTCTTCAAACAAGCTCTCCTCCATTCACCTGCACGCAGACAACCTTTAGGGCTCCCAGTGTTTTCTTTCCTCTGGGAAACGGGACCAAGTGGCTATTTTGAGTATTTAAGGTTGCAGATCCCTGCTCATTTGATGGCCCGTAACCAATTTTTCAAGAAATTTGTATAACTAAAGATGAAAAATAAGCTAAAAATATTTCTTAATTTTATATAACTAAATAGACTTCTCAGAGTAGCAACGGGCATTATGTTTTACACAGGAATTCCACTTTTCTCCTTTACGTGTTGAATTTATAATATAAATATATTTATTATTTAACATCCAATACTTTGGTGACCACTATTGCCTCTCTCCTCAGAAAGGATCTTTCCACCCTCCATGGATTTATATGCTCTCTATGAGAACTGTGTTTTCCAAGTAAAGCTATTTCCACACTCTGTGCATTAATGCGGTCTATCCCCAGTGTGGATCCTTTCATGACAATTTAAGATGAGCTTTTCCAGCATAGCTTTTTCCAGTCTATCTTTTTATATGGTTGCTTCCCACTGTGAATCCTATGGTGGCAAGTAAGATGACTTTCGCTAATGAAACTCTTTCCACACTCCATGCATTTATTCGGTCTGTCCCCAGTGTGGATGCTTTTATGACGATTAAGATTTCCTTTCCGGGTAAAGGTCATTCCACATTTCATGCATTTATACAGTCTATCCCCAGTGTGGATCCTTTTGTGACAATTAAGATTTCCTTTCCGGGTAAAGATCATACCACATTTCATGCATTTATACGGCCTGTCCCCAGTGTGGATCCTCTCATGAAGTTTAAGATGTCCTTATCAGGTAAAGGTCATTCCACATTTCATGCATTTATACGGTCTGTCCCCTATGTGGACCCTTTTGTGACGATTAAGATTTCCTTTCTGGGTAAAGGTCATTCCACATTTCATGCATTTATACGGTCTGTCCCCAGTGTGGATCCTCTCATGAAGTTTAAGATGTCCTTCCCGGGTAAAGCTCTTTCCACATTTCATGCATTTATACGGTCTGTCCCCAGTGTGGACCCTTTTGTGACGATTAAGGGGTCCTTTCCGGGTAAAGGTCATTCCACATTTCATGCATTTATACACTCTGTCCCCAGTATGCATCCTCTCATGAAGATTAAGATTTCCTTTCTGAGTAAAGCTCTTTCCACATTCCATGCATTTATATGGTCTGTCCCCAGTGTGGATCCTCTCATGAAGATTAAGACTTTCTTTCCGGATAAATCTCTTTCCACATTCCATGCACTTGTACGGCCTGTCCCCAGTGTGGATCCTCTCATGAAGATTAAGATTTCCTTTCTGGGTAAAGCTCTTTCCACATTCCATGCATTTATACGGTCTTTCCCCAGTGTGGATCCTCTCATGAAGTTTAAGATTTTCTTTCCGGATAAAGCTCTTTCCACATTCTATGCATTCATATGATCTCTCCCCGGTGTGCATCTTTTGGTGGACATTAAGATTACTTTTCATACTGAAACTTTTTCCATACTGCATGCAGCGTTTCCTCTTTCTGTTCAGGCTGGAATCCATCAAAGATATTACAGAGGTATGTGATTCCCATTTCTTTGGTGAAGTAGAGGCGAAGGAGCTATTCTCCGTAATTTCTAGAGGCATGCGTGCCTCCTTGTCGTTCTCATTCACAAACACATCATCTGCATGGGAAAAAATGAAAATTAATATTCTGATTAGAAACATCAAAAACATGCCAATCAGCGTTCCAGGTTTAGTACAATCCATTTGTCTAGCCAGGATATATCTGCAAATTGTTATCTAGGAGGCTCTATTATATAGAAATAATGTTTTCAGCCAAAAAACAGATTAAAGTTAATCTATTCAGTCACTTCCATGGAGTATCTAGGATATTTCTCAACTCTATGGTGAATATTTCTGCCACGACCTTATAGCAAACTGAACAGCCTGGCCTTACCCAGAGCAGCCATATTGATAGAAACCTCCTGCATGACTTCTCTGCAGAAGGCCTTCTGGCCAGAATCTAGCAGCCTCCACTCCTCATCTGTGAAGTCCACAGTCACCCCCTTAAAGGAATCAGAGCTCTAGAAAGAGAAAAAAGTAGATCATCCCAGGAAACAGTTGAAAGTTCTCTCTCTTAATGCAGACAACATAAAATTCACAGTTGCAAGAGCCAAATGAACATTTTCTTTCAGGACGGATTCATGCCATCCTGTCCACATAGTCCATGGTGCCGGGAAGTGCAGCTTAACAAATCACGGCTTAGCTACTTCCAGGTTGTAGAATGCAATACAGCCAACATTGAACAACAGTTTTATTGTTACAGCCCCTTAGTGTTGGCTTACTGGCTTATCCTTCATGCACTATATTTTTCTTGGTATACTTACTGTAGTTACCTTACAAGAGAGACGGGTAGCATAAATATTTAATAAAATAAACACTTCTTAGGTATGTTTAATCCTACTGTTATAGTTTCAATTCATGGGTTACATTTCTAACTATTTTAGGCACTCTTCTTAATAATAAGAAATTAATATTTCTCTTCTCCTACAATTAAATTTCATTTCTAATAAAAGGTTCCTGCCTATCAATTGTCTCATTTGCATTCCAGCACAATCTTGAAAGCCAAATGTGGGTAGACATTGTTTTCAAGTGCACACAGACTCAGCTTTTGGTATCAAAAACAGCTCCTGAATGGATGGAGCTGGAACGCTACTGTTTTCAGATGAAACCTGCACTTACCTGGCAAGGTGGCCAGAATTGGGTTCTCCTGAAAAACAGGTCCTGAATAGAGCTGGATTGATCTCTTCTGCCCCGGAGCTCTGCTGAAATCTCCTCTGTGAACGACTCCTGTATCTGAAGAACAGCCTAATTCATAATCCATTTTCAGAGGACAATATCTGTGTAAGCATTACTTACATTTTGCTTTCCTACTTGTATTTCCCCAACCCAATTCAGAGACACTTCAGGGACTCTGCACGTACTTATATTTCTCAGGAAATGAGAGTTAAAACAGCAGGCTGTGTTTTTATGTACAGAAACTATAATGGTGTGTTAATTAGTTTGTTTCTCTTACTATTGTGGTATTCCAGGGCTTATAAAATGTGGCTCTGTATCAGAGGCCATTCACATAATCCAGTTGCTTCCCCTTTATCAGCAGATCACAAAGTAAACACTGATTATTATGAGTTATATGGATAACATCACAAAGGATACAGAAGTGTAAAGGGATAAATTAATTGAGAAAACAGAAGCATTTAGTTCAAGACGAAATCAATTCTTCAAAAGTGAGGAATTCTAGAAAAGGCTGCAGTCATATTTTTAATATGTCTTATTGCAGATATAGCTAGATCGCTAATACTTCCTCTCCCCCTCCCGCCCCCAGTGGAGCTACCAGGATGACGCCCATCGCCCTCCTCACCTGCCCCTTTCCCGGCTCTTCCCGCTGGGCTTGGCTGAGGAGGAAGCCTTCGGCCAGGGCCACCGCCTGCGAACAGTTCTCGGCTCCGCACTCCCTCACCCAGCTCGCCATCTCCGCGGGCAGCAGGGCCAGCAGCTGCTCCAGCACCACCAGGTCCAGCATCTCCCCTTTGCTGCTCCTCTCCGGCCGCAGCCACTGGCGGCACAGGCGGTGCAGGCGGCTGCAAAGCTCCCGGGGCCCCTCGGCCTCCTGGCGGCAGCCGTCGAGATCGAGGAAGCGCCGGCGGTGGATCTCTGGGCTGAGGGCGGCCTCCATCCCTGGAGATCCCTGGGCTTCCGTCGGGTCTCCTGCTCGGGGGCAGCCAAAAGAAGCCCGAGAGAGTCCCAAATGTCCCCAGCCCCTCCGCAACCCCTTCTCCGGTTTGCAGGAGGGCAGAAATGGGTCTCTGCTCACTCGGCCTTTACCCGCCTGAGGAGAGCAACGGCAAATCCTTCCCGCCAATTTCCTGAGCGCTCCTTGGCTCGCGTACCTCAAGAAGCAGCCAGAACGATAGATGCGTGCTTCCTAGAGTGGATCTGATAGGAAGAGAATGAAAGGTGACCTTCCTTTTCCGGCCTCCCAGAATGTCTGCTCCGCTGCTCTTCTCCGGAGGGAGGTGGGGTTCGCTGAAAGGCGGGAGGTGGAAGCGGAGGCTGGGAAGGCAATGCTTGTAAAGGGCAGGGAAGGATCGATGATCTCGGCGTCGCCCCTCTTCATCGGCCGCTTTCTCCTGTCCGGGTCCTCCGCCCTGCATGGAAGTCGGAGAGCCTCCGCTGAAAGGTGTGGAGTCATTCGTTTGGTATATAAACCAAGGTATCTGTCTCTCACCCTCTTGTACAGGCAACAATCAAATAGTATGTGAGTCAGGTCTTCTACCTCTGCTGCTCCGCAAATGCAGAGATGCTCATTGTAAGGTATAGAATGGAATCTCCCAGATCTGACCATTGTGTCAAGCTGTTCGAATCTCGCTCGTGTAAATATCTCCCTAAGATGTTTTGGCAGTTGTAACTTCAAATAGCTGTCTGTTTGAAAAGTACGTTTGTATTTACTCAGCCATTTCAAATTACCCACCTTAGTAAGGATCGCTATATCATTTTGTGCTTCTACATCTTTAATTCTTTGGGCAGCTCTTTTTTTTTTAATTGTTCTCCTGTTACACAAGGGACAGGAAGACCACAGCTTCTTACAAAATTTGTTAAGAGGAAAAAAAAGTGAAGGAAACAATTAGTCCATTAGTGGGTGAAAGTGGCAAGAAGGTGACAAGCAACAGGGAGAAAGCAGAACTATTTAACCCGTTTTTCGCATCTGTCTTTACACAAAGGGAAAAAACAGACCAACCTATGAAGAATAGTGCCATAAAAAACAGAATAGAAAAGCAAGTTAAGATAGGCAATGTTCTGTTTTATAATCAGAGACATCGAAGCGAGGCAGGAGTAACCAAACAGAACTTCTCTATTGTAAAGCACGAACAAAGCAGAACAGCAAACAAAATAATTTGTGTATAATTGGGGATTTTAATACGATTGTAGACAGAGAATTAGATTATAGAAATAACAGACAAAACAAAGGTGTTAGAAGGATATTACCTAATTCATTTTTTGAGATGGTGGAAGAACTGAATATAAAGGATTGTTGGAGGGAAAGAAATGGAGATAAGAAACAATATACTTATTATTCAGGTAGACATCAATCTTGGTGTCGAATTGATATGGTTTGGGCATCGACAGATTTGAATTTGGGCACTGAGGAAGTTAATATTGACATAAATTCGTGAGCAGACCACAATCCCATTAAAATCAAATGGAAAGGGCAAAAAAAGATAAGGAGGTGGACCCTAAAAAGAGCACTCTTGAACCAAAATGAATTTAAATCAAAGATGGACGATCAAATGAATTTGTTCTTTCAAAGTAATAAGAAAGAAGATATGAACAACCAGAACCTGTTGGACACGGCAAAAGCTTTTATGAGGGGTATCGCAATATAATACATGGCCAAAGACAACAAACAAAAAAGACAACGATAAAAAAACTTAGAGGAAGATCTTAGCAAACTGGAAATGGAGCTGCAGGAAGAACCCATAAAACGGGAATTGAAACATCAAATAAACATAATTAAATATAAATTAAATATCGAAAAGGAAAACATGGCACAACAAATTAAAAGCATTAAACAAAACTTTTTTGAAAATGCAAATAACCCGGGAGGATGGCTGGCTTATACACTAAGGAAACGGAAAGAAAAGAACCAATTAGCAAATTATATAATGAAGGAGAATTAATCTACCAAAATGAGGAAAAGAGGAAGGTAGCGTATGAGTTCTTTAAAAACCTTTATGAGGATAAGGAAAAGGTGGAAGAAGGCAAGATGGTGCAATACCTCCAAAAAATAGATCTGCCCAGAATCTCAGAGGAAGGTAAAAATTTATTAAATAATGAGATAACAGTACGGGAGATATCTGAGGCAATTAAAAAACAAAAAAGTAACAAAACACCAGGCCCAGATGGTTTACCTTCAGAAATCTATAAAAATCACCAGGAAGTACTAACCTCGCTGTTATTAGAGGTGTATAATGATGTATTGAATGAAGCTAAGATACCTGAATTGTGGAAATAAGCAACAATTACATTGATTCCCAAAGAAAATTCTGATTTGACTTATATTAAAAACTATAGGCCAATATCTCTAAACTCAGATTATAAAATCTTTATGACAATTATGGCAGATAGACTAAAGAAAATTTTAGAGAATTTTATTCATACTGATCAAAACGGCTTTCTTCCCGGACGGCATATAAGGAATAATATTAGGATTATTTTGGATGTGATAGAATACTATGAAGTCCACAATGAAAAACAAATGGCATTGATATTCATTGATGTGCAAAAAGCATTTGACAACATCAAATGGAACTTCAAATGGGACAATTAAAATATATGGATTTTGGAGAAAAATTTATAAAGATGTTCCAAACAATCTACTCCAGACAAGAAGCTAGAGTGGTGATAAATGGGGAAATGACAAAGAACTTTGTAATCCAAAAAGGCACAAGGCAAGACTGTCCGCTATCTCCACTGCTTTTTATTTTATCATTAGAGGCCTTAATTAGAACAATTCGAGAAGACAAACAAATCAAAGGTTTAAAAGTAAGAAAAAAAAGTTTTAAGGTATAGGCATTCGCAGACCTTGTATTTATTATTGAAGAGCCTATACAATCTGGTCTTAGGCTGATGGAAATCCTGGAGGACTATGGGGGAGTAGCAGGCCTTAAAATAAATAAGGATAAAACAAAAATGATAGTGAAAAGTATAACTGAAGAGCAAAAAAAAAAGAAAGAAAGAAAGAAAGAAAGAAAGAAAGAAAGAAAGAAAGAAAGAATTGGAGGGAAAAATAAATATGCAGATTATGAAAAAAAATAAGATATTTGGGAATTCAATTGACAGCGAGATGCATCAAACTTAGAGAAGATAACTGATAAATTAATGGTGCAAATTAGGTCTGATTTGGAAAAATGGGGAAAATTACAGTTATCTTTAATGGGCAGGATAGCCACCATTAAAATGAATGTTCTTCTGAAAATGTTGTTTCTATTTCAATGCATACCAATTCGGCTTAAAAAGGATTTTTTTACAAATCTGGACAGACTCATTTCAAAATTTATATGGCAAGGGAAACGACCGAGAATCAGATTAAAATTATTACAAGATGCTAGAGAAAGAGGAAGATTTGGCCTACCAGACTGGACAAAGTATTATCAGGCAGTGGCGTTGGTTTGGCTAAATGAGTGGATGCATCTCAAAAGTACAAGATTATTGGCACTAGAAGGTCATGACCTACAGACAGGGTGGCACGCTATTTTATGGGAAGAAAGACATTTAGTCTAGCAGTACTTCCAGAAGCATTATATTAGGGGAGCATTATTGCATATTTGGAAAAAAATAAAAAGATATATGAAAATTCCCAATTGGGTGTCTACATTAGAAATGTAAATACATCCAAATTTGATAAAATGGGGGGTGGGGGTGCTGCCACCTATAAAGATATTTTGAATGAAAAAGGAGAACTAAAAGCGAGAAATACTTTAAAGGAAGAAGGAATCGAATTGGAATGGTGGGCATATCTTCAAATCCAATCTAAATTTAATAAAGATAAAAAGGAACGGGGCATAAAGCAAGACTCTTCTGAATTAGATAAAATTTTATTTAGTAGGGAAGACATATAGTAAACTATATAGATATTTATTAGAACAAGATACGATTGAGGAACAGATGAAAGAAACTATGATAATTTGGTGTAAATATTTTGGGCACAATATTGATTTGGATAACTGGCAAAGTTTATGGGAAAAAAAAACCTAAAAATCACTTTAGCAACCTCCTATAATGAAAACTTCTATAAGATGCTTTATAGGTGGCACCTCCCTCCCACAAGATTAGCACAAATGAATAAGGGGAAATCCTCGATGCGCTGGAAGTGTGGAGAGACCATTGGGAATTACTACCACATGTGGGAATGCCCAAAGCAACAAAAAATTTGGAATTTATTAAAGAAATGGCCGGAAGAAATTTTGTTAATAGATATAGAGGCCAAACCGGAACTTTTCTTATTGAGAATTATACAAAGAAAATACAAGAAAGATACAAATTATTTATTACTGCATATAGTAACAGCGGCATGAATAGCCTTCGCTCAAAAATGGAAAGAGAAAGATATTCCATCCGAAGAGGAAATATTATTGAAAATCTTCAACTGCGCAGAAATGGATAGACTCACTTTGGAACTCAAGGATAAAAGTGAAACTAAGTACTACAAAATCTGGGAACAATTTTATGATTGGATAGACAACAAGAGGGTAGCCAAGACAAATGTATAGTGTTGAAACAAAATATAGATTACAAACAAATGTATATTTAAAAGATAAATAAATATACAGAAATAAGGGAAAAAGTGTTAATATTATAAATAGCAAGCAAAGCTTAAGAAATGTATGTCTATATGAGTATTAATATTACTGTAAAATGATGGAAGATGTAGATGTATGGAACCAGTGATGTCATATCTATGTCCAATGTTTTTAATTTTGTATTATTAATAAAACTTTGAAAAAAAAGATAGGCAATGTTCTATTTTATAATCAGAGACATCGAAGCAAGGCAGGAGTAACCAAACACAACTTCTTTATTGTAAAGCACGAACAGAACAGAACAGCAAACAAAATGGCGCTGGCCCTTTTATACTTCTCTTGCAGGGACAGCATCAGCCTATCAATGCAAGGCTAGTCTCCCACCTTGCACATGCTCACAAGGCTGAAGACAGCCTGTCTGGTCTCGGGCAACCATGTGGTCTGCTCGGGCCTTCTGCAGCCTCCTGAGTCATTCAGCAGGCCCAGGACATAACCCCTCCCCCCTTGGAAAAATCAATAAGTGAATACTTACTGTTTTATAGCAGCATACATATACATGTGTTCGATTCAGCATGTTGTTATTTCTAAACACAGTTATGCCTGCACACAGGCAGACCCAGTCATTACATTTCTCTGACCTTCTTGGAGCCAGTATGTGTGCCTGGTGTGCCAGCTCGCCTGCTAGGCTAGGCAGACCAGGATTTTGATGCCCCAAAGACCCAGGCAACCCTCCAAGCTGCTGACTGGCTGGATCCGCTAAACCCTAACCAGAGTTCCTTGGTGAGGTGGCATTCCCCAAGTCCAGTGGTGAGGTGGAATTCCCCAAATCCACAATGGACCCCTCTTGGAGCAGTGTCCCTTGAGCCCAAGACCAGTACCTGGAGTGGCCTGAGTAGCCGATTGGCAGCAATGT